CCACGCTGTGGAGCGTGTGTGGCGCAGGCAGACGTGAGCCTGCAGCCTGTGGGGCAGCCCGTGGTGCGCCTGAGGCCCGCTGCCGACTCTCCAGGTGACCTTTGTCAACCCTGAGAAAAAAGATACCTACAAAGAGTTCCTGGTGGATAACTGGGCTCAAAGTTTTAAAAGCAGAGCATAGCAGCCATTTCTACACGGGGACCTGTCTTTCCCCATCCCACTGGAGCTGTGCATCTCTGTACCCATCAACATCTTCACCAGCCAATCAAAACAGCTCCATTCTGACCAGTCAAGTCTGTGCCTTTGGACCAATCAAACTGTAAGGATTTGGAGTCCTCATTTGCATGAGAATGGACCCAGCTGTGCTGTATCCCAGGGGACCTGTTTTGCACTGAATAAAGTTTGCTTCTTCCCCACACCTCAAATGGGGGGTTCCTGTTGGCGCTGTGTTGGTGCCAATGACCATCATTGGTTGACTGTGCTGGGTTGAGGAGGAGCATTGCAATCTCTAGGTGTGGTGACCTTGAGATAAAGCAGAGGGGTGTAGCTGAAACAGCAACAGAGGAAGGCAAATGAAATGCTAAAAAATAATGATGATTGAACCCAAGGCTGGCGGGAAAGCATGAAGACAGGAGTGAATGCAGGGGGCAGTTTGATCAAGGACTGTCAATCATGGTTCGCAGCTCAGGGGACCGACACTGCTGTCCCTGGGGTCATTCCATCTGAGCCTGAAGGAGCAGTGGGGCATCCCTGGAAACAAGACAAGACAGGCCACTAAGGGCCTGTGGCCAGACTGTCCCTGGGGCCACACCTGGAGGGAGTGAGGCCAAAGTGCCAATGCTGGACGGACCCCCCAGTGCTGTCCCAGCTTCGGGGTCCCCACACTTAGCTGTCATTGTAGGTGACTGCCCCCAGGATGAGCGGCCCACACAGGTCACTGCTGGGGTGCAAAGCAGACAGAGAAGGTGAGAAAGTAAGCTGAGCTGCAGGCACACGTGGGTGTGGTGGAAGTTTCTAGCGTCCCCCGTGTCTGCCTCCTCCTGCCCCAGCCCACCTCCCCTCCCCACACAGCAGTTTCCCCACCATTGCTCCAGAATTTGTGCAAAAGCAATAGGCAGAATTTTTAAAATATTTTTATTTATTTATTTAATTTTAGACAGAGGGGTAGGGAGGGAGAAAGAGAGGCAGAGAAACATCAATGTGTGGTTGCTTCTTGTGCACCCCCTACTGGGGACCTGGCCCACAACCCAGGCATGTGCCCTGACTCGGAATCGAACCAGCGACCCTTTGGTTTGCAGGTCAGCACTCAGTCCATTGAGCCACACCAGCTAGGACAATTTTTTTTAATCCTCATCTGAGGGTACATTTATTGATTTTAGAGAGAAAGAGAAACATCAACATAAGAGAAAAACGTTGATCTTTTGCCTCCCCTACGTGCCCTGAGCAGGGATCAAACCCACAACCTAGGTATGTGCTCTGATTGGGGATCACACCTGCAACCTCCTTGGTGTATGAGACAACACTCCAACCAACTGAGCCAACCGGCCAGGGTGCAACAAACAGAATTTTTTTTAATGGCAACTTCAATTTTTAATGAAACTAAGAAAATAGGTACAACCCCCGAAATGTAAGTCAAGATGCCACAAACCGCTGACATCGGGCAGAGGCCACAGGGAGGAAGTGAGAGATGAAGGAGAGACAGCGGCGGGAAGCCCCAGTGGCGGCAAACACACACCTCCTGAGCATGAGAACCTGTCCTTCGAGCTCTGGGGTTCCAGCCCCATTCCCACTGGGCTCTGCAGAGAGGAGGGTCGCTGTGAAGCAGGTGGCGCTGGGCCAGGAAGACAGCCCAGGCACCATGGTGCTGGAAGCTCTTTGCCTCATGGCCGCAGAGAACGACAGAACCTGCGGGTTAGGAGGCTCCAAGGCCACGCTCCTCCATCCTGAGGAAGCACCCAGAACAGCAGGTCCAGAGTTTGATTCATGAAGTAATGAGTTATAAATTTGAACTGGAACAGTACTGATTTAAAAATAATAGAACAACAACAAAATGTACAGACAGACAAAGACTGCTCACCAGAAAATTGTTGCCAAAGGATAAGGTGACAGTTCCAGCCAAAAATCCTTCATGAATAATATCCAAACACAAGTAATAGACGAGAGCAAGCGCTAACGGGGGATAGGGCCGGGTCTGGACCAGGTAACAGAAGAATCCTTTTGAAAATCCAGACCTTCAGGAAGGCAAGTTGACAGAGCCCAATAAAACGGAGACAGCGCAGAACAGTCAGGGACCTGGGGACAGAAGCAATGAGCGGTGTGGAGCAAGGATTGGGAGGAGAGACAGTAAACGGGGTGCAGACACTGAAGCCCGACTGCAGGGTCCTGGATCTGCCGTGCTCCGAGCAGATGAGCAGATGCAGCCCAGCCACCGTACCACCCGTAGGCTAATCGAGGGAGGTGGGGGACCGTGGTGGCCCACACGCCATCGTCTACAGAGTGGGGTTCAAAGTCCAGGAGCTGAGGGGGCCTGTTTCCCGCTCTGCCCATCCCCAGACTTCATGCACAGAATATCCACCTTATCCAACACTGTGGGTGACCGGCGGCCCTTTGGAGCCGTCCGAGAATCCCGAGGGCACTTGCTCTGCGTCCTCCGGCACCACCAGCCTGAAGTTCCCAGGGGCAGGAGTCTGTGGGAAGGCATAGAGGTGGCCAAGACCCTCAAAGCCGTAAGTCGAGACAGCCCTGTGGAAGAAGGCTAGAAAGCTGCCTCGGAGACACAAGAGGCTTGGCCAGGCTGCTGAACGCGTGCAGGTGTGCGACAGGCGAGCGTGGGCCTCCTCCTGTCCTGACGCCTCCCTCCCCCGCCCCGGCTGTGCACCTGCCCCGCCCCTCCCTGGGTCCTGTTGGTTGAGCACTGACCTTAGAGCACAGTGGTTCAGCCCTCAGCTTGGCTCCAAGTCCTGCCCAGAAGAGCCAAACCAGGAGACACCTTCCCAGTCACCTGCTCTGGAGAAGGTAGGGTGCACATGAAGCAACAGCCGTGAGCAGAGGCCCGAAGGCTGGCTCAGCATAGATGGCGGGCTCGACACAGGCCACCCCACTGCACCCTTCCAGCTGCCATGCCTGGCACCCGCTGGGCACACACTGTAACACTATGCTCTTCCCCTGACACATGCCTGTGACAGGCGGGGACAGGGGCGGCCTCCCAGACTGTGGGTGGGGCACCACAGAAGGAGCCCGGGCTGTGTATGAGCACAGCCAGCCGCGTGGTCTGCAGGCCCTGGGCCCGCCCCGGCTGCCCTGGCCCCAGCGACACACCGCACTGCCGGGCAGCGCAGGCAGGCAGGAGCTTCCTCAGGGAGCCTCAGAGAGCTCGGCCGAGGCCAGCTCCCGTCACCTACGCAGTCTGCAAGAACGGAGCCGGGTCCTCTGCAGGCCGCACGGTGCCCGCAGCTGCTGTCCTGGGCCAGGATGAGGAGGCAGGGCTGGGGCTGGAGATGGGGGCCGGGACTGGGGGTGAGAATTAGGGGCTGGGCTGGGGGCCTGGGCTGGGACTGAAGATGGGGACTGGGGGCTGGGGATGAGCTGGCAGAAAGGGGCTGGCAGGGCACAGGGGGCACCTTCCCGCCCCCAGCCAGGAGCCAGAGGCCTGGAGATCCAAAGCAGGTGCTTCCTGTGGGGGCTGGGGCAGCCCCCAGCCCTGTTCTCTGAAAGGCAGACAGGAGGCCCCAGAGCAGAGGCCGCAGCAGGAAGAGCCTCCAGAGAGGGGCTGGGAGATTGAGGAAGCCCTGCTGTGGGCTGTGAGCACCGCCCCGCCCCCGCATGAGCCCTGCAGGCAGGCTGGGACACCAACGCTCCCCCAGAGCCCAGGAGCCCAGCCTAGGAGGAGAGGGCTGGCCGGACCCTCCCCCATCACCAGCCAGGGCAAAGGAGGAGAGGGGCCATGTGGCCCTAACAGACACCTCAGCCTTCTCTCCCCTGCCCCTGGCTGTGCCCCTCGCTGCGCTGGGTCTGCACCCCACTCCCGTCTCTCCAAGACCCAGGGATGCCACCTGGGAGTGCTGCCCGAGACCCTGTCCCCTCCCCTGGGGGAGCCCCTGTGGCCTTGCGCACCGTCCCCAGGGGCTCCTGACCCGCATTCAGCACCCTGGCCTCCTGCCCTTCACACCCCAACCGTCCACACTGCACCAGATGGAACCTTCTAGAGCAAGCCCCCCACATGCTCAGCTTCTTCGCTGGGCACTCAGGGCAACTTTCAATGCAGCCACCTCAAACCCCCTGGGTCCCCCGGGCACAGGCCAGCCTCCGGGTCTCCCCTCGGCCCTCCCAGTGCCTGGAGTCAGGCAGGTGCACACGCACGTACTCATGCACACATGCCGCGTGCACACGCACAGGCTCACACACGTGCACTCACATCGGCACACCCACCCTCACACAGGCTTCTCACACGCCGGCACTCACCCTGCCCCAGCCAGCTCTCAGGGCACCCTCCCACCCTACCAGTCCTTGGGGCCTGCAGCTGCCTCCGTAGGCTCCGCCCTCAGCAGCGGCCGCCCCCAGGCACACCTGCCAGGCTGACACCCAGGCTGAGGGAGCCTGTGTGCGCTGACCTCCCCAAGCACCCACGCCTGGTGCCCCTCTGAACCCTGGCCCCCAGTACTAGGCCTGACAGGTGGGGATGCAGACCTCCCTCCTCGTCTCCGTGGCCCCCGAGTCAGGGAGAGCAGCCCAACAGGCGTGGGGGAAAGGGACCCTCTCCCTTAGACTGTTTGCCCCTCCCCCTGCACTGTGCTCCTGAGACCCCTCTCCGGGAACCAGCAGCCCCAGGGGACCCGGAGGGAACCCACCCCTGTGGAGACCCAGGGGCCCGGCAGTCACCCCAGGAGACCACACCTGCAGGAGCAATGAGCAGGCAGAGTTAACAATATGGGACCAGAGAGAGAAAGCAGCCTCTCGGGCGGAGCCCCTGACAGACCCAGGGGGCTGCGCTACGGGCTGCCATGGACTCGGGGTTCCACCGCCCCCCCTACACCCTGGCTGGTGGGCTTTCTCCAGCTGAGAGCAACTCAAATGTGGGGGCAGGGCAGGGGTTCGAGAGGGCCTCAGACCCGGTGTTGGATCTGCTCTCATTTCTAAAGAAAAGGGAAACGGCAGCCCCGGGTGCTGGGGCCTCCCCTGCTCTGTGCTGCCGCCCGCCTGGCCCTCAGCAGGGCATCCGCCTCCGCCCCCCGGGCCCCCACTCCAGCCTCGGGGTTTTGGCTGAGCCTGGAACCACAGTGGTAACTGGGAGCACAGTGACTGACAACTCTACAAAAACCTCACCAGCGTCCCCAGGGCGGCTGGGCCGTCCTCCAGGGCTCAGTGCCACATGCACGAGGGGCCTGGGGAGGAGCCCACAGTGGGAATGGGGATGCCCTCCAGGCCAAGGGACGGGGGCTGGGGCGTGGGGGGCAGGGTGAGCAGGGAAACGTGGCCTGTGGGACCAAAGCAAGCCAGGTGTCAGGAAGGATGCCCAGACCCAGACCTGGGGGCTGAGGCGGGGAGGGCGCCTGCCTGGGACACCGGTGCACACACACATACTCATACACACGCACACGCCCAGGAGGAGAGCAAGCTGTGCGGCTCCCGGGCTCCCCGGGGACCCTGGCTGCAGGGGTGCCTGAGGCCTTGGCTCGGTGCCCACTCACGGTGGCTCTGCTCACTTCCTGCACTGGGGCCTGGGCGCCCCGGTCACCGTCTCCCCCGGTAATGACGCCCCTGCCCGCCTGCCCCTAGGTCCATGTGGCTGTGGGCAGGTTTATGTCTGGGGGGGACCAGGGACTGTGTCCCTGTGCAATACTTTAGATCCCTGGGGCCAGGGGACCCTGGTCACCGTCTCCTCAGGTGAGTCCTCACTCCACACCCACTGGAACTGCTCTGGGGGAGACTGGGGTGTTGGGGCCTGGGTTTCTCAGAGACACAGGGGCATTTTGGAGGCCAGGAAAGAGAGCCAGGGAGAGAGCCCCTAAGTGGGGGCTGGAGCACCCCCCCGAGGGCGCTGTGTGTAGGGACTGACCGGGCAGCGCGGCTGCCCTGCCCTCAGCTCCGTGGGCTCTGCTGCACCCACTGTGTGGGTTGGGTGGCCGCCTGTGTCGCTTGGACTTCTGAGTTCCAGTGAGGGGCTGTCGGCTCACGGTCAGGGGCTCAGGCGGCCGGCGGTCTGGCTCCTGTGGGTCAGGGTAGGGGAGCAGCTGGTGGAAGGGCCCAGGACCCTCAGATCACAGTGACTTGGACGGTTGGCTTCCATGTGGCACCTGGAGACAGTGCCAGTCTCCGGGTGGCCTCGGGGGAAGCCGGGCCAGCCCCGTGGTTTCTGTGGGGTGAGGATGGAGTTTGCACCGCTGCGACTGCTATGGAATGGGATACTGCGGCCAGGGGACTCTGGTCACCGTCTCGTCGGGTAAGAATGGCCTTCTCAGGCCTTCATTTTCTGCTCCTCTCTGTGCGTTTTTCTGGACATCAGCGGTTGGTCCTTGGGACATGTGGCCTTGGGAACCTGGGCAGGCTGGCCGGAGGGACCAGGGGCCAGGGCTCAGGGACTTCAGAGCCTCTTGATTTTCTGATGCTTTTTGGAAACTAGCTTAATGCTGGCATATCCAGGGAGTCATTGAGTCCCTGAAAGAGGGCCTGTCAGCCTGAAGGGCCACGCTGAGGGGAGACGCCGGAGCCGGGGCTGAGGGCCGGTGGGGCTGCGGCCGGACAGTCTCGCCGTCAGAACTGGGAGTTGGTGAGGAGGGTGCCTGGCACTGGCGGTTGTGAACCAGGCACGGCAGAGTGCTCAGGGAGACACTGTCCTCAGATTTGGGGGTGAAATTCTGAGCTAGACTGGATTTTTTCCAAGTCCATTACCTTTATGTGATTTAATTTAAAAATCGTTCGATTGTATTTAGCCTTCTTTATTGGTTAGGAAGAGCACCATCTGGTGAGAAGGGATGCACGGCCCTGGTCTTGGGGACAGCGGGTGCCCAGCCTCGGGGGCGAGAAGCGGCCGAGGCCAGAGAGCGCAGCCCAGGGAGGCAGCTTCCAAGAGAGAGCGGTTTGCTCTCTTAGGAGGCTTACCTGACAGGCCAACTTGGAAGTGGCCCCTTTGGAAAGTAATTAAGAAAATTGTGACTTTAAAATGTGAGAGTTTTCAAGGGTAGGAAATTTTTAAATCTTATTATTTAATTAATCACATCTTTCTGGAGTTGATAGTGGTACAAATTTGGCCAAGAAATGGTAACTGGGAACCGTGAGCCTCCGTTCAGGGCTGACTTTTGACAATAAATAAATTAAGTTTATTTTTTAAATGAATTGGGGGACGTTCCGAGTGGACGGAGCCGAGCTAGCGAAGACGGCCCTGGGGCTGCGCACCTGCAGCCGGCGGCCGGAAGCGGGCGGACCCAGTCTATTTCAGGAAGCAAGAAAACAGGAGTGGCAAATTTATGGTTACTGGTTTTGGAGAAGTTGTTTCGGATGGTTTTGCCCACAAATCTGAAAGTGTTTCCTCTGAGCAAAACAGCACCTGAGCAACTTGAGTTCTAAATTAAGGTGCGGGTGCTGGCGGAAACTAGGAGGTTCTTTTTGAAACTATTTGGGTTTAATTTTTCAATCTTAACAACTTCTCATGTATATTCATTTTGAAATTAGAATGTTTACGAAATTAAACAGCCACAGGAGCCATTTATCAATGCATTCACATAACTTTTTTAATTATCCTTTCAAATGGCAATTAATCTCACACTGGTTCTCTGTCCCCAAAACACTTTTTACAGTGACTGCAGCTTGTTAAGTTAATCAATTTTCTCTTCTTGATGAAGAAACACTTTGATATTCTGATAAAGTTGCCTTTGTTTCAGTATTGTTTAAGAGCACTTTTCAAGTTTTCCTTTGAGAACAAATTTAAGTGAAATGTGTATAATTGTTCCGAATTATTTTGGTTAAGTGTGTTAGTCAGTGGATCAAGAGGAAGCCAGTCAGGAATTGAGTCAGAAAGGAGCCGGGCACGTCGCAAGGACACTTCCTGACTTGGACTTGCTCCGGTGGAGGGTCTGAGAGCGGCCCTGAGCCCCAACCTGGGGACACGTAGCCCTGGCTTCTGCTGCCAGCCCAGCCCACTCTCCCGAGTCCTATGAGTAGTGGATTTGGAGAAATTGTTGTGTGACAAGGACCTCCTGGACTTTCAAGTGACCGGGCAGCCATGGTAAGAGAGTGGGGGAACAGACAGATGGTCTGCCAGTTTTGCTTCCACCTGAAGGGGGATCTTGGGTGGCGGATGCTCCGTGAAGGCAGAGAGACTTGTTTGTGTGACCCCTTGTCTGGTCACTCACGTTTAACCTTCTCTAAAGGACACTCCAGGGAAAAGGGGCGAGTGCTGCCCCATTGTTACCAATTGTCCATGCTGTGACTCAGACAAGGCCACACTTGTGTAGTCTTTTCATAGGTTGTGAGCGCAGCTTTGGTTTTTTGGGTCATTATTGCATATGAGAAAATAACCCATGTCTTCTAAAGGGCTTTGTGCTAAGTAGCAGAATTATAAGTGGAGAATTCAGAAAAATGCATTTCCTGGCCATTTCTAGTGATGATGTTTCTCTCGAGGAATGTAGTTAAAGTCGAGGGCTGATTGGAGGGCAGGTGCCGGGAGGAGAAGCACCACGGGGACCGCCCCAGCCTCTCCTCCCCACACAGAAGCGGTGCTCCTCCCATACCCGTGGGATGTGCCAATGACTTAAAGTTGCCAGCGGGTATTTTAACCAGGTCCTTGAAGGAGGGCAGTGATTGGAACTGCTTGGGAGCCGCAAGCCATCTGGAGCTGGGGCCGGGCCTGGGAACTGGGCTACCCTGGGAAAGAACTGACCCTGACCCCAGCCCAGCTGTACAGCACTCCTGTGTGATACAGCTGCAGTGGAGGCAAGCAGATCTGTTGGCCAGACCCCTTCTGGACAGAAACATGGGCTTTCCAGGGCTGCCCTGGGTTGCAGCCCTGAGCTGAGCTGAATTAAACAAGTTTGAAATAAGCTCTGAGCAGAGCTGAACTGAGCTGCGCTGAAGTGAAGTGGGTGAGCTTAGCCCACTAAGCATTGAGCTGACCTGGGTATCGGACCTGAGCTGATCAGGGCTAGCTGTATTGAGCCAGGCTGGGTGAGCTGAGCTGGGCTGGGCCGGGTGGACTGAGAGGAGTTGAACTACGATGAGTTGGCCTGAGCTGTCCGAGTGGTGAGCTGGGCTGACCTCGGTGGGCTGAGTTGGGTGCAGCAGTGATGGACTGGGGGAGCTGGCTTCACTCGGATGACTTTGATGATTGCCTTGGCCTACGTTATCCCGGGTGGGCCCCTGGGTCTCACTGGGTTGAGCTGACCGTGCAGGACTATCCTGGCCGACGCTGGGCGGACCTCAGTGGCCTGGTGGTGCTCAGTGAATCTGTATTGATCTTACCCACCGTACACACAACATGCTTCGGACACACAGGGCTGGGCAGCAGTGCGGCTGAGTCAGGGCCGTGGAGGCTGGGCTGGTGGGGGCCGCTTTCCTCACGAGCAGTTGTCTGGGGCTCTCCCCGTGCTGGGGCTGAGCATGCCTGCTCCAGTGTTCAGAGGAACGGCAGAGCTGGCCCGGGCCTGGGCCATCCTGAGGCGGGAGCCAGGGTACAAGTGTCCTGAGTGCAGGGACAGCATTGCTGGGGGAGGGAGGGCCAGACCTGCCAGCTCCAGCCAGGAACACTCTTCACACCCATGCTCTGAGCTGAGCTGGCCCCTGGAGCAGGGTGGGGTGCGGGCGGCCTCCCCGCACCCTGCAGCCTGTGCCAGGACGCCCTCTGGTCTTGCCACAACCGCCCGCCACGCAGATGGCAAGGCTTTGGAGGCCTCGTGGTCTCAGCCTGGAGGGGCAGCTGCAGGCAATGGGCCTGGCCCCTGACCGGCCAAGCATGAAAAGTCACCTCACCTCCCTTCTCTTTTTCCCTCTTGGATCCTCAGAGAGCGCATCTTCCCCAAACCTCCTTCCCCTCGTGTCCTGTGAGAACTCCCTGTCCGATGACAGCCAGGTGACTGTGGGCTGCCTGGCCAAGGACTTCCTGCCCGACCAAGTCACCTTCTCCTGGAAGTATAAGAACACCAGTGCCATTGGCAGCCAGGCCGTCCACAACTTCCCATCGGTCCTGAGAGAGGGCAGGTACGCTGCCAGCTCCCAGCTGGTCCTGCCCTCTGCCGACATCGCCCAGGGCACAGGCGAGTTTGTGACATGCAATGTCAAATACTCCAACATTAACAAAAATGTGCCAGTGCCCATCCAAGGTGAGAGGGAACCTCTTCTCAGCTGGGCGGGTGAGGTGGGGCTGGGCCAGGCCAGGATGACACGTGTCTCCTCACCACAGGGTCCAGGGAACTGCTGCCCCCCAGCGTGAGCATCTTCATCCCTCCCCGCGATGCCTTCTCTGGCACCAGCCCCCGCAAGTCCAGGCTCATTTGCCAGGCCACGGGCTTCAGCCCCAAGAAGATCTCTGTGTCATGGCTGCGGGAGGGAAGGCCACTGGACTCTGACTTCACCACAGGCAACGTGGAGGTTGAGAACAAAGTGTCTAGACCTGTGACCTACAGGGTCAGCAGCACGCTGACCATCACCAAGAGCGACTGGCTCAGCCAGAGGGTGTACACCTGCCAAGTGGAGCACAATGACAAGAGCTTCCAGAAGAACGTGTCATCTGCGTGTAGCACTGGTGAGTGGTCCTGCCCCTGAGGGCGGCCCCCCAGCACAGAGACCCCCTCAACACATAGGCGTCCACTCAGGTCTGCAGACACTGCTGCCACTGAGACCAGCTGCTCCCTGAGCCTTGGCTTCCCGGAGAGGCCAAGGGCGGGGAGGGGGTTGTGCAGGGCAGCTTGAGGCCACCTGTCAGGAGGGCCCCCCGCACCCCTCCGGCAGGATCCCAGGACCCAGGAGAGGCTCAGCCAAGCTGGTCACTCAAACCCACTCTCCTCCCCCAGGGGGATCCATCGACATGAGAATCTTCACCATCCCCCCACCCTTCGCCAGCATCTTCCTCACCAAGATGGCGAAACTGTCCTGCCTGGTCACAGACCTGGCCACCTATGACAGCCTGACCATCTCCTGGACCCGCCAAAATGGCCAGGAGCTGAAAACCCACACCAACATCTCTGAGAGCCACCCCAATGCCACCTTCAGTGCTGTAGGGGAGGCCACCGTGTGCGTGGAGGAATGGGAGTCCGGAGAGAAGTTCACGTGCACAGTGACCCACACAGACCTGCCCTCCCCACTGAGGCAGACCATCTTCAGGCCCAAGGGTAGGCCCGGCCCCGCCCTTCCCACTGCCCCAGGTTCCCACAGCCCCATGTCTCTGCTCCCCCTGTTGTTGGGGGCAAATCCCACTGCCCCCTGAGCTCACCACTGCCTCTCCTCCCACAGAAGTCGCCAAGCACATGCCCTCTGTGTACGTGCTGCCGCCCACCAGGGAGCAGCTGAGCCTCCGGGAGTCAGCCTCTGTCACCTGCCTGGTGAAGGGCTTCTCGCCCCCAGACGTGTTTGTGCAGTGGATGCAGAGAGGGCAGCTCGTGCCCTCCGATATGTATGTGACCAGCGCCCCGCTGCCCGAGCCCCGGGCCCCAGGCCTGTACTTCGCCCACAGCATCCTGACCGTGACCGAGGAGGACTGGAGTGCAGGAGACACCTACACCTGCATCGTGGCCCATGAGGCCCTGCCCCACGCGGTGACCGAGAGGACCGTGGACAAGTCCACCGGTAAACCCACCCTGTACAACATGTCCCTGGTCATATCTGACATGGCCAGCACCTGCCACTGACCACCCGCTGCCCTTCCTGAGTGGTGCCCAGAGCCTCAGGCTGAACTGTCACTGTGTGTGTGTGTGTGTGTGTGTGTGTGTGTGTGTGTTTGTGTGTGTGCGTGCGCAAGCAAACTGACTGCCAAAGAGGTGGGGTGCCGCATTCTATAAAAATTAGAAATAAAAATTTCAATTCAAAAGATGTTGGTCCTGAGTCAGCAAAGCTCTTGCCTGCCAGGGCCACGGTTATGCTGCCCCCGCCCCGCAGACCACACTCCACCACTGCCCCACCCCTGCCTTACCCCTGCCTGCCGCCTGCCTCCAGGGGGCTGAGCCCCTTGCGGAGCACTCACTGCAGACAGAGCTCGTGCTCCCTGCCCTCCACTACTGCTGCAGCACACGGGGGCGGGGTATGCGGCACACATACACGTGCACACAGAGACACACGCACACATGCACAGATGTGGACACACAGACACATGCATGCACATACATGGACACATGCATAGATAAGGACACACACTATGGCACCCATGCACATGGACACGGGAGCCCATGCACAAGTGTGCACACACTTGGATATGGGCACGCATGCAGTGGACATGGGCACACAAACACCATATGCAAGGATATGGACACACTGACACATGGGTACACAGTCATGCACACATGCACACACACACATAGACATGTACACAGAGACATGCATGCAAATGGACACAGGTGCACGTGCAGAGTGCACACAGAGACACATGCCCAGATGTGAACACATGCACGCAGAAGCACACTTGCACATGGACACAGGCATGCAGACATGCACACAAATGGACATGGACAAAGACACATGCAGTGGGCATGGGCACACCAACACATGCACACAGACATACAAGGGCATGCACACTTGTACACATTGAACAGACATGTGCACACAGAGATGCACTCATACATGTACAGACACGTGAGCATATGCGGACACGTACACACAGGGGCACAAGCATACATGGATGCAGAGACACACATGCAGCCAACATGGGCACACGGGCAATTGTATACATGCACAGATTTGTGCAAAGACATGGATGCGTGTACACGGATGCACAGATATATGCTTGCTTATACACATTCACATACAGTCAGAAGCACACACATGTGCTTGTACACACGGGCAAGCCATGGACACACGGGTGCACGCTGACACATGTACACAGGTGTTTGTGCACACGGGCACACACAGGTGCACACACAGACACAGACACGCATATGTATGCCCAGGCTTTGTGTCCTGGTTGCTCGGTGCCTTTGCAGACACCCCTGTCTCTGCACCTGCTGCAGGGCTTCCTGCCCAAGCCTGCTTGTCCTCTGTCTCAGCTTGGAGGTGCATCCATGGCCCATCCAGCCAGGACTCTGACCAGGGCCACCCTCCCAGGCCCAGGGCAAAGGGCTCAGCTGGCCCCTCTGGCCGACTGCAGCTCCCCAGGGACACCTGGCCCCAGTAGCACAGGGGACAGATACGGTCTGCAGCCGGAAGGGAGAGGCGTGGGGGCCCGAGTGAGTCTCCATTCCCAGCTCATGGCACTGCCCCCTTTGGGCCACCTCCTAGACACCCCACATTTCTGGTCTTTGGGGGGCCTGGGCTCTAGGCACCTCTAAAGTCCTGTCTATGTTGGGGGTTCTGGACCGCACTGTTTGTGTCCCCCTGCCCATCCCAGCATCACTCACTCTGGGGCCTCAGGTGTCTGTCTGACCCCTAGTGGGGCGGGCCAGCCAGGGCCCTGCACAGCGTCTCCGCCATGCCCTCCTCTCCAAGGAGGGGAGAGAGTGAATCCCCCTGAGGGAGCATGGAGGGGTCACTCTGCCCGCAAGGCCACCCCCAACCGTAGGTGACAGGAGGCTCTACTGCCAGCCTCTCCAGCCCCAGTGGCCCTGGTGGTCCTGCCCCCACCTCTACCAGAGGCCACTGGGGTCCCCACCCCGACCCCAACCCTGCCGCACACACCCCCTGTGTCTGAGCTGCTCAGTCACTGTCCCTGCACCTTGGGTTCCCAGGACAGGAACCTCTGCCCAGACCCCCAGGCCATCAGAGGTCCCTCCCTCCTGTCCCCCACCCTGCCTGGCCCTCCTGGGGCAGCACCGCAGGGGCTGAGGACAGCAGCAGGGGGCTGGGCTGGGGGTGCGGGCAGAGCCTGATGCTGCATTGTGTCCCTGCAGAGGGGGAGGTGAGCGCCGAGGAGGAGGGCTTCGAGAACCTGAACACCACGGCCTCCACCTTCATCGTCCTCTTCCTGCTCAGCCTCTTCTACAGCACCACAGTCACCCTGTTCAAGGTAGGCGGGCGGGCAGGCTGGCAGCGGGCGCGGGGGCCCAGAGACGCCGTGGGGGAGCGCCTCATGCTGCCTCTGTCACCTGCAGGTGAAGTGACCCGCCAGACAGGACCGTGGACACCAGGGAGCCGGAACCAAAGGGGCGCCTGCGACCTTGAGCCCAGGGCCCTTAAATCTGCCCGTGCCACCCCCAGCTTCCAGCGCTACGGAGCGGCTTCTCGGCACAGGGCCCCATGCGGAGGGAGCGTGGGCCCGGGTGTTGCTTTGCAATGGATGCGCTTGTTGCCTTGGAATAAATATGTGCACAATTTATCTTGTGAAACTGCTTCCTCGTGGAGGGTTTTTTTTTCTCCCTAAACCACACTCCTGTGTGTTGTGTGAGCCTCCCCACAGGTGACCCCAATTCTGACAGGCGCTTGGGAAAGGGAGGTCCCCTCTGCACAGGCCAGGGCGGGGGCGGGCAGCCTGGGGAAGAGGACGGCCGAGCTGCGGGAATGCAGGCCCGGTCCCCCCAGCACGACCTCGGTGCAGCCGGGATCCGGCCTCCACGTCACCAGCAGGGCCTGTGCCGGGGACACTGCAGGAAGCGCCGCCACTGTTGTTGTTCCTGGTGAGCCTGGCCGTGTCAAGGGCCTGAACCCCCCACTCACAGAATGTATGGAGTGTGTCAGGGTGACACAGAGGGCAGAGAGTGACGGGTGACCAGTCAGGAACGTGCATGACAGGGAGGCAGGACAGCAGGGAAAGGCTCTGTCCACCATGTCACCTACAGAAAGGCGGGTGGCAGCTGGGCTCAGAAGCAATAGTAAGGTGTGAGGTGCCAGGAGGCGGAAGCCATGTGAAGGGGACATAGATGTGGAGGCACAAGTTGGGGCTCAGTGGGCTGGGGGCAGACGGCCAGCCAGCTGCGGGCCATGCAGAGCCCAGGACAGCTGTGGCAGCCAGGGTCTGGGCAGAGGCAGGTCCGGAGAAGGTGGAGAGGAGCTGGTAGGGCAGGGGCTCCTGGAGGTGATGAGGGCAGGAGTCGGCGGGCACCTGCAGAGCCAGGGTTCAGGAAGAGGCCACTTCAGGCGCAGAGGAGCCGCGCGGAGCTCGCAATGCCGGCCGTCACAGGGTGTCCGTGGCCTGGCTCTGAAGACGTGACCGACTGTCCAGAAGAGAATTGGAAAGGGACGTGGATCCCAAGGGGAATTGGTCCCCAGCCGTGGGCTCTGGGTGGACAGCTTCCAGGCTCCATCTCAGCCCCAGTTAAGTGTGTCCCCTCCTGGCCCAACCTCACAGGCTGGGGGGACTCAGGCAGGGCCCCTCAGGGCACAAGGCAATGCAGCACGGCCGAGGGCTCTTGTGCAGGCATGGGCTGGCTGCTCAGGACAGCGCCTGGGATTGCGTCTGAGGCTGCCATGACAAAGAACCACAGACGAGGCAGCTTCAGCACAGAAACTTACCCTCTCGGGTTCTGGAGTCAGATCCAGGTTCAGCGGGCGGTTCCTCTGCAGCGCCGCGCCCTTTCCCCCCGGGTCCTGACCTGGGTGTTTCTTGGCTTGCACTCCACCTCCAGGTGCACGTGGTCTCACCCTGTGTATGTCTGTCTGTCCCTGAAGTCCCCTTCCCATACATTCACAGCCAAACCGGATTGGGGCCCAGCCCGCTCCATGCGGCCTCACTTTCACTCACTCTTCACATCATCAGCCATCCTAACAAGGCCACCTTCTGTAGTACTACAGGGATAAGACCTCAATGTATGAATTAGGGGGACACAACTCAAGCTATCAGCGTCCACCCTCTGGGCCCCCCAAACTCACACCCTTCTCTCATGCAAAACACTCCGTCCCGACATCCCAGCAGGTCTGATCCCATACCAGCATCAACTCTAAGTCTAAAACGTCATCCACATCAGGCACAGGAGAGTGACCGATCCTGGGACCGAGTGCACCCCAGCGGTAGCTGGTGGCTGGCCACAGGGCCAGCCCTCCCACTCCAGGGGGAGGAATCAGAGGTAAGGAAGGGAGGGAGGAAGGGCCAAGGTTCCCAAGCAGTTCAAAGCTTGCAAGGAAAACCACATTAGATTTTGAGGCCCGAGAATGCCCTCCAGCTCAATGCTCCTTCCTCAAGGCCTGTGTGGCAGCCTACCCTCTGAGCCGCGACCACAGACACCGCGGTTCTGCCTCAAAGCCGACCTTCCTCCTGTTCACCTCCTGTGTCTTCAGTCCTGGCGGGCCTGTGCCTGCTCCTGTGCCTGCGCCTGCTCCTGTGAGGTTCTCAAAGCCTCGTGGGCCCTGCCCAGTCACCGTATGCTCTTCCTAGCTGGTGCTGAGCTGGCTGGTGGCTCCCGTGGGGCACATGTGTGACCCCTGCTTCCACTGGCCACACACCTCCTTCAGCTTCTGTCTCCTCCCACCTCTATGGGCAGCAAAGAGAGGCCAGGCCACACATTCAGGACTTTGCCCAAGAGCCCTACTTTGCACAAAATAGTAGAAAAGAATCCAGCCATGATGCGACCACTTTACAACAAGGGCCTCCAGCCCTCTGATCCCTGGTGCCCGGCCCTCGTTCCCAACCGGGGCCACAGGCACCGGGAGCCTCAGCACTCGTGAGGGCATGCATGCTTGCCGAGATGGGACAGACCTCCTCCAGCTCCCTCCCCTTCCAGGACCCACACAGAACCACATGCAATGCCCATGTTTCTACTGACCTCTCCAGGCCAGTTTGGGTTTTCTGACATGCACCTTGGACTCTTCTGGCCTCCACCCACCACCCGGTTCTAGAGCCACATCCACACCCGCTTCTCTACCAAAGTCTGCGTTTGTTTCCTGGGGGCATTTCCTATGCTCTGTGCCAGAGTCCCACCAACCGGGAGGCTTAAACAATGGAAGTTCACTGGCACAGGCCTGCCAGTGGAGCCGAGGTCAAGGGTCAGAGGGTCAGTGCCGAGGCTGCAAGGGGAGGGCCAGGGCCCCCCACCCTTGCTGCAGCGCTGCTAGTGACCTCCGCTAGAAGAGCGTCCTCTCCTCATGACCTCTTCCTGCGTGTCTCTGCGTCCAAGTCCCCCTCCTGTGAGGACGGAGTCCTGTGGGGCTCGGAGCCACCCTACTCCAGAGGGGCCTCATCACCTCATGGGGAGGGACACAGTCCTGCTGAGAAAACCCAGGGAAAGACGAGAGCAGGGTTGCCAGGAGCTCTGGAGAGAGGGAGGCGGGCTCTGCCACAGGCACCCTGAGCAGAGGGCACGGTGCCCACCCAGACCACGCCCTGCACGCCAGGTAGGGCACAGGGGCGTGCGGACTGACAGGCAGCACGCGGCTGGGGGCATGGCAGGAGGAGGGGCTGGGAGAAAGGGCGCCCACAAGACTGAGAGCAGTGCCCTTGGGGACCCAGACAGGGGCCCCATGTCAGTTTGGCCACCTTGGTCACCCAGGTGCCCAAAGAAAAGATGATGCAGTTGCAAGCCAAACTGTTAAGGAGCTGCCGACTCTGGGACAGCTTTGCAAGGGTCCAGGCCCAGGCTCAGGCCACTGCAGGGTGGCCCTCCAGGACGTGGGCTGGTGGAGCCGTCCACCCCACCCCACCCCAGGACAGTGCCGAATACCCGCTGTGAGACCAAAGCTACCTGTGGGCTGGTCTCCAAGCAGCAGAGCCCCTGGGAGCAGGAGTCGAAGTCAGGAGGGTCCGATCCCACTGCTGCTTGGGGGACCACATGCAAGTCCAGCCACGCTGCGCCTCTCCTGCGGCAGCTGGGACCCCAGGCCCTCAGCCAGGGCACACCCTGGACTGGGGCATTGCTCAGCGGCTGTGGGGGGCTTAGAGCAGAGGAGCATAGCAGGGCCCGGGGGCCCACAGGATGGGACGGGGACTGTCCGGGCCCGCTCTCCAGGACTCTCCGGCCCTCGGGACCAGACCCTGTCCCTCCAGCCGCCCTGTGCCCCCAGCAGCGCCCAGCCCTCAGGAGCCTTCCAGATGCGGCCGTGCTCCCCATGGTCCTGGGGTGCAAAGCCCCAGATAAAGGCAGCTTGATGACGCTGGCCTGCTTGGTGACAGGGTCCATCCAACTGGTCACCCGGCACTCAGGGGCCCAGGAACTCCCCAGATAGCCCCTGACCATGTAGAAGAAACAGGGGTCGCCCACTTCTCCCTCCTGACCATCGTCTGAAAGTCCGGCCCACACAACTGCAGCATTAGTCACATTTCCAAGACCTCCCAGTGGCCTCCAGCATGTCTGGCACCAGCCAGCAGGGACCTGACCCCAAGGACCGAAGCAGGGACCTGGGCCCCAACCAGGCGCCCAGCGAACCCCTGGAGCAACTCCCTATCCGCACCCCACCCTCAGCCACCCTGTCTCCAGCATTGGAATCCGGTGCTCTGGCCCCTGTCCCCAGAGCGCAGGAGGCGGTGCTGAGTATGAGGCGGCCCTGGCCCCGCCCCCATACACCCATCCCACCTGCATCCACAGTGCTCTGCCCTCTGCTCCCCTGACTTGAGCATGTTGGGAAATGCAGGCCCTGCCGTGACCACTGCACCACCCTGCCAAAGGGCTCCACCCCAGCCCCTACCATAGCCATGGGCCGAGCTGAGGAGCCTCCGTGCCAGCACAGCCCCACCTGCCCACCCATGCCTCTGGCTGCCTCCTGCAGGCAGCCCTCCATTGCTTCTCCTGGGATCTTCAAGTCACTCCCTGGTGAAGAAGGCAGGGCCCTGAACTTACGGCTCCCAAGCACCTACTGTGTGCCACCCAGTCTCTTCGTGTGCCGGGGACCCACCCAGGTCAAGCCCCAGGGAGCACCGTGGACGAGGCAGGCCCACAGGCCAGCTCGATGTCCCACCTGCCCAGCGGGCCTGGCTGAGATGTGAGCTCAGTAAGGGGTCGGGCTCTTCAAGGCGAGCGTTTCCCCCGACCCTTACAGAACTGTGTGGTGCTGCGCGAAGGCAGGGCCTGGCAGTGCTCCCAGTGCCTGCCCAGCAGGAGGAGGGTCCCCGCTGCCTGGACCAGGCGGCGAACGAGCGCTGGGAGAGGCGTGCCGGGCGGAGGTGGGCCCCGCCTGCTGTGGCTCCCCCGGGGCAGGGCTGCCGTCTGCACAGCCGCACCTGCGGGGCTCTGCTCCCGCTGTGGCCCTGCGGCCCCCTGCAACACGGCTGTCCCTTGGGCTGCTGCAGGCCTGTGGCCCAATAACCTGCTGGCCGGTCACACCCTAAACCATCAACGTGGTTGCTCGGCGATGGTCCTCAAGCACTTGGCGGACGGGGTCCCTCCAGAGCCAGAAGGCGCACTCAGGGAAAACTGACGAGGGACGCCTGGCCCTCGGGGGGTGGGAAGACAGAGCTGCACCCTCACAGGCCGGGGGCAATGGGAGGCCTCAGCCCCAACCACGGGGGGACCAGGAGGAGACCCTGCCTCACCCAAGTGCCCCCCCAGGCCACGCCGAGCCAGAAGCTGGGATGCTGGGGAGCCCAGTGGCCACCTTTCCCAGAGGCCAGCCCCTTGGGCACAGACTGGGGGGTTGGGGCCTCACATGCCATCTCTCAGCAATCCCTCTGGCCACCTCCTCTCTTGAGGACACACGTCTCCAAAGCCTGGGCATGACCACAGTGGGGCTGCACGGACAACACGCCCTCCCAGGGCGCACGCTGGCATCAGACAGGGACCGAGCAGAGCCGGGCAAACCATGCAAGAAGGCGGTGGAGGGGGTGCCAGCCCAGCCTGAGGGAGCGGCTGGGGTGCCTGAGAGGGGACTGTGCCCATCCCCTCAGCCACAGCTCTCCTGGAGGACAGGCTCTGGGTGGCCACTCACGCAGGGGCAGGAGGGAGGATTCCTGGCTCGCTGGGCCCAAGGGACCCAGGCAGGGGATCTTGGGCCCGTCCTCCGGAGAAGAAGCAAGGCCCTGGCTGAGTCTTGTCCTCGTGCGCCCTGCTCCTGACCCCTCTGGCTGCCAGCCCCCTGACTCCGGGGACTTGCTCAGGCGAAGTGGCCCTGAGGGCAGATGCCATTGCCACTGAGAAGCCCAGCTCAGCTCCAAGCAGCACGCAGCCAGAGGACCGGGCCCCCCACCCCCGCCTGGACAGAGCACTGCCGCCCACCCGGCCCCGCAGAGCCCAGCCCTGACTCAGGCACCTCTGCCTCCCACGCTCTGGCCGGCTCCATTAGCAGCGGTGGCTCCTTGCACCTGCCTCCCGTTCCGGCCCAGCCTCGGTGGTCTGCCTCCAGGCACAGGGCCAGGGGGCTGAGAGTCCACACACAGCAGGGGCTGCCATGTGAGCAACAGGGCACACGTCTGGGGTGGGCTGGGAGGCCCTCCTCCACACCAAGCCTGCTTGCAGGCTCACACTGCGGGGGCAAGGTGCGCACGCACACATGCACGACTCACGCGGAGCACTCGCGCACACATACACGCAAATAGGCAGACTCAGTACACATGCAAATGCACACATGCGCTTACACACAAGGCGTACCTGTGCTGGTCTGCAGGCGACATGCATGCTGCACACACACGACTTGCATGTTCCTGGAACCTGTCTGCTCAGGGCATGGAGCTGAGAGGCGTCCTATCTGTCTTAGGGGCCAGGTTACCACAGAGGAGCGTGCACTTCACGTGGTGCTACCGGCTGCCACAGGAACATCCGTGGGCCAAGGGCTGTGATGCCTCCGGAAGCCAGAAAAGGCCAACTGGATTCTCCGCAGGGCTTGTGGGTGGCATTGGCCCCACCACAGCTGAACATGGTCCAGCTGGGCTGTGGGAGGACACACTGGTGGTAACTCGCTCCAGCAGCCACAGAAAACGAGCACAGCACTGCTCCTCCCACTGACCTATCTCTGCCCAGGGTGCCCATCCTACCCCTGACTCGGGCCATCTCCCCAGGAAGCAGATCCCCCCTTCACCCCCGTCTCGTTGGCCTGGTCGAACTGCCTCCGTGCCCTGTGGCCCAGGGTCACGTCCACTGGGTCTCCCTGCCTGCCTACCCGTGGGGGTCATCATGGGGGCACCACCCCCCCGGCCTCCTGTCCCCCCACCTGACCGCTGTCCCTCAGCAGGCTGTCCCAGACTCTGAGGCTCCCCCATCACCAGCTCCAAGTCTGCGTGAAGCCCCAACTGCCCCTATGAAACCCCCAGGCCTCGGTCCCACCTCGCTGAGTTTCTTTCTCTGTCCTTCCAGCACATTCTATCTCTCATTTATTATACCTGTCGGCTATTCTCTGTCTCACCTAGAAAGGTGACTCCATAAGCACAGGCTCTCTGTTGCTCCCTGACAGCCCCTGGCAGGTGGGACCCAGCCGGCAGGTAGCACAGCACCAGCAGGTAGAAGGCACCCAGCACTCACGTGTGAGGGAGTGGGCGTCACCGATGCCTTGAGCTCAGCCCCCGCCTCGCGTCTGCCTTCCCCGCCACGTTCTTCTCACCTGTCGGGGATGCGCCCCCTGCTGCACTCGCACCGTCGCGTCCCTCTGAGGTCCCCCTCGCCCACTCTGCCGTCCCAGTGAATGATCCCCCACCACAGGCACCCTCGGCCCTCGACCCGCCCTGTGCCTGGCCAACCTCCTGCTCCAGGGCTAATGACACCTGGAGCTCCCTGCAGCCCTGCCGGCCTCCTGGTTGCCCCTCTGCACCCACGGCCAGTGTGGCCTTTTGAAACATGAACCGACCTGGAAGCCCCCACTCAAGCCCATCAGGGGGCTCCCGTCCCACCAGAGCGACATCGAAGTTCATCCAGCCCAGCCGGTGACCTGCAGAGCCAGGCCTGGCCAAGCCCCCTCCTTGTGGCCACCAAATCCCCTCCTCTCGGTCACAGTGCGCCACAACCTGTGTGTCTCCATGGCCCTGCCTGCCCCCCCGTCTCCAGCTGGGCCCCCTGAGAGCAGGGCTGCTGCAGGTCTAGCACCCATGCCCACGGAGGGGGAGCGTGAAGGAATGGAGGAGGGATGTGGGATCATAGCTGTCACCCGCCCCCCCACCCCGTCCCCAAGGGGGCAGCTCCTTGCTTTTTGCTCTGCCCTTGGATGTGCACCGTGAAGCCCCATCCACAGGCCCCTGGGAGGCCAGGAGGGAGCCCGGCAGCAAAGCCCGCGGCCCGTGGCTCCTCTGGGTGCAGGGCTGGGCCCAGGAAGACTGTACTGGGGCTTCATTCTGTCCAGGAAACACACTTATAAAGCGTCCTCTAACATCCGGCAAGAAGCACATCATCATCAACGCAATCTGACTTGTACACATTTCTGGGGCCGAAGCACCACCAGCTCAGGCCAGGCCCTGCCTGAAAGCCCCTGCCCAGCCAGCACCTCCAAGCTAGTAGGGTGGTTTCATGCCCTTTCCCCGTTTTCTCACAGGAAGAGCTTGGAGCTGCCTTCCCACAGGACTTCCCCTTTCCGTCTCCAGGAAAGGCCAGTTGGTCTCTGCCCTGCTATGGGAATCAATCTGCTGGAAGCCCGTGACAGCCCCTGTGGACCCCGGGCACCCCGTTTCCCTTCGCAGAAACGTGTGTGGCCCTCTCCCACACAGGCCTTCACTCAGCGCTGTGACAGGCGGGCAAGGGCAGTCCCCCCACCTGCACTGCAACTTCTGTGCCAGGAGCCACCTCTTGGGAAGAAACATCTGTTTCCCACAGTTGTAACCAGCAGGACACACCCCCACACCTGAATCGAGGCCCGACAAGCCTGCTCCGCAGTGCGGGACTCACCTCCCGGCCCCCATGTGGGGTCCACCTGGCCCCTCTCTCTTGCTGCGGGGTGGGTCTGAGCCTATCCTGCCCCCCGAGCTTGTGTGCCGAGGCCTCCAGGATCCGGACAGAAACCAGGCTGCGTTCTCTGACCAAGGCCCTGATGCCCACCCCTGACCCCTGGCGGCCCACGGCTGCAGCATTTATTCAGAAGACGAGGGGCTGGGACGAGACCTCAGAGGGCAGGCGGAGGCCGGAGGCGCAGAGACAGGGTCCGTGCCCTCGCTGGCAGGGCGGGCCTGCCAGGGCCGCAGCGACGCGCACCCATCACCAGACCATGGCGGTTATGGGAAAATACGGACTCTTGCAGTAAATAAGCGCTTTGTCAGAGTGCTGCCAAGACCAGGAACTTTAAAAATAAAACTGATAAATTTGCCTACAAAAATTTCAACATATATAGGAATAAGGTTACCATAAACAAAGTAAAACGCTGTGTGAGAAAAAGTGGCCAAAGAGTCCAGTATTGAAAGTAATCTGTATTAGGCAGCATTGTCTAGAGATGAGAGGATATGTGAGGTTGAAGTTAGATCGATCAATCAATGACAGCTAAATCAATGATAGATAGATTGATGCATATGTACAGAGAGTGGGAAGGAGACAGATTGATTTTAAGGACTTGGCTCACACGATTGTTAAGTCCGGGTGAGTCCAAAGTCTGTAAGGCAGACCAGCAGCCCAGAGACCAAGGGAAGAGT